CCAGCTGAGGTTGGTCATGTGGGGACTGGGCACAGCCACCACTTCCAGGCCAGCTGTCTTCTGTGGGCTGCCTCCAGTTTTCCTGTTTGAAGCAACAATTATTTCCACATGTGTCATGATATGAAAGAGTTCAGGAAGTTCTGGGTTAAGCCAGACCTGCTTTGATCATCAATCAAAAGATTAAAAATATGTAGGGGTAACAGAATCAGTACAACACAATTTCTTTAAAATGCTGGTGTAGGAAAAAAGCACTAACAGCCATGATATAGGTCCACACTACTGATTTCTAATATTATTTTATTTATTTATTTTTGGGGAAAGATATAGAGACATCGATTTGTCGTCCCACTTATTTATGCATTCATGGTATGTGCCCTGACTAGGGATCAAACCCACCACCTTGGCATATCAGAACAATGCTGAAACCAACAGCTACAAGACCAGGTCTCTCATATAATTTTTTTTCCTGTCTGCACTCCCTCTGACATGCCCCACTTAGGAAATCTTAAGGTGTATTCCAACAACCCTCAATAAAGTAACCTCCAAATATAAATGTTAGCTCACTGGCATAACTTTAAATTCTGGGGTAAAGAGCAATCATGGTTCTCTAGGCCAATACTAAATGTACTCAAGATAAGTCTGAAATAAATTCCACTTGGTAAGAAAGAGAAGTCCTTAAATGTCAGTGGAAAAGCTTTATAGAATGAAGCTTAGAGCTGTGAGGATCTCCTTTTAAAAGACAAAATACTGAAGCCCAAGCAGCTGAACTGGTGCCAATTCCCAGATCTCTGGCTCCCAACTGCACTTTTGGTTTGTTTTTGTTTTGTTTTTTTTAGTAATATATTTTTATTGATCTTAGAGAGAAAGGGAGAGATAGAAAAATCAATGATGAGAGAGAATCAATGCTGGGGATTGAGCCCGCCTCTAGGACATGTGCCCTGATCATCAGACTATGACCTCTTGGTTCATAGGTGAATGCTCAACACTGAGCTACACCATCTCCGCCTAACAAATGCACTTTCTAAGACACCCCCAGAGCTCCCGCTGTTGCTTCACTGACTCACTCCGAAACCATAAAACAATGTCCAAGTACTTCCTGCTCCTCAGGGAAACTGAATTGCTGGTTAATATGCAACTAGCAAATCATTGTTTGAGAAGCCAGCATTTAACCTTATGCTACTGATTAAACTTAAATTTGTGCTATTTAAACACAAGTTCCTTTATTAGTAGTCCTTATTTATATCTGTGAAATAAAAAGGCAGCTTTGTTTCTGCATAAATCAGGAAACATCCTTAAAAATGAATTAAGGCCCTAGCCGATTTGGCTCACTGGGTAGAGCGTCAGCCTGCAAACTTTAGGGTCCCGGGTTCAATTCCAGTCAAGGGCACATGTCTGGGTTACAGACTTGATCCCCAATAGGGGGTGTGCAGAAGGCAGCCAATCAATGACTCTCTCTCATCATTGATGTTTCTATCTCTCTCTCCCACTTTCTTCCTCACTGAAATCAATAAAAATGTTTTTTTTTTTTAAAAAGAAAAAAATGAATTAAGTTCTTTATATTGTTATTTTGGGGGCACTTGATATATTATGATATAGCAAAATCTCTAAGTAGGGGTTGACAGAGAGGAAGAGGATAAAGGAGGACAAATACATGGGGATGCAAGGAGACTAGACTTGGAGTGATGAGCACAAAATCGAGTCCACAGATGTCATTTTACAAAGTGATACACCTGCCAGAGCCAGGTAGCTCAGTTGGTTGGAGCATCATCCCAATGAGCTAAATTTCGGGTTTGATCTCTGATCAAGGCACATACAAGAAGCAACCAATGAATGTAGCAAAAAGTGAAACAACAAATCGATGTCTCTTTTGCTCTCCCCCTTAAAAAAAGAAAAATCAATCAACTCTATTGCTTTTACAAAAAAAATGTACATATGAAACTTGTCATTAACCAATGTTACGCCAATAAATAAAATTTTAAAATATATGTACATATGCCATCTTCGAACTCTAAAGAACGAAAACAGCACAAATAGAATTTTCTTCCTTGTACTGAGAATACAGTCCAGATGAGCCAACCAAAAACAGAATGTGAGATTGCTGCAGAAATGGAACAAATAAACTGTCTAAGGAAGAAGGCAAAATAGCTTTAAAAAAACAAAAGATAGACACCATATTTGCATAAATTCTTCTGCACTTAGCAGCTCTACTTTAAATCACCACATGCATAGACTCATTAGGGAAGTTATAACTTCCATACCCATGTTGGCTAAGACTGATAACAAGCAAACAAGGACTTTGAATTCTTACAGGTTTTCTTATGATATTTCAACCACAACAAATCTAGGAGTTCCTTCTCCAGAAAAAAGTGACCAGTGTTTTTATTCTTGGGTACTACAGTGTTGTCTTGGGTTAAACTGAAACCCAAGAACACCAGCTCTGTGTCACCAGCAATGACATCTGAGTTGGTTCTTCATTTTGTTTCCTGCACAGAAGGCCAATTCTGCAAGAACAGATATCATTTCTTGAATGCCATCAAGGACAAATTAAGGTAGAAATAGTTTTTTCCCAGCCCCCACAAAACCATAGAAGTCCTATCCCCAAAGTGAATTAAAGTCCTAATGTCAAAATTTCAGAGTCCTCGGGGGTGGGGGGAGAAAGTCTTCATGCACCTAAATAATATGTGATATGCAACTTTTCAGTGAAATCAGAATCGGGTCTGAAGCATATCAGTAAAACATAATAATTCTTGTAGGGTGTAATGTCTCAACTTTCACAGATCATGTCTTACCTGTGAATTTGCAGAGGGGAAGGGGCGGGCAGAAGGAGAGAGAGAAGTTGCCTCCCAAACTCCCTTGTAATTCTTTGCATTCTATCCCAGGCCCCTGTCTTATTACAGAAACACACACACACCTTCTTTCCTACTCTTTACAGATATCTCCATTCTTCAAAAAAAAATGACAGAACGAAGACAAATCGAAATGTTCAGATACACCCCACACATGTCTATGATGCATTTCATCTAATGAATCTTCGACGTTACCCTTGTGCCAGATGTGGGAATAAAAAACTGAATGAGTCCGTAAGTGACTCACAGTTCAACAGCAGCAGCCAATGGTGCATCTTAAAAAAAAAAAAAAAAAAAAAAAAAAAAAAATATATATATATATATATATATATATATATATAGTGTGTATATATATATATATACATATATATATATATATATATATATATATATATATATTGAGAGAGAGAGAGAGAGAGAGAGAGAGAGAGAGAGAGAGAGGGGGGGGGAGGGAGAGGGATAGAGAGTTAGAAACATTGATGAGAGAGAAACATCGATCAGCTGCCTCATGCACACCCCCTACTGGGGATGTGCCCGCAACCAGGGTGCATGCCCTTGACCGGAATCGAACCTGGGACCCTTGAGTCCGCAGGCCTACGCTCTTATCCACTGAGCCAAACCAGTTAGGGCCCAATAGTGCATCTTGACTTGTACAACTCAACCCCAACTCAAACTCAAGAGGACAGGACAGTAGAGGGAGAGAGGCCGCTGAATGAAGAAACGTAAAGGGTTCTACGACGGACCGCCCGGACTGCAGCATCCTCGCGGATTTCCCTGCCACCCAAGCCCTTGTCCTTTTTTTCACTCTGTCCCGATTACTTTTCACAATTCCCCTTGCGCGGAGTCTCCGTCCTACTCAAGAAGCTGCAGGCTCCTCCCTCCTTATCGTTCAAACTCTTCCCTTTCAAGCCATCCACGGGCTGGCCGGCCCCCCTTACCTGCTCAGGTTGATTTCTAGCTCAATCTACGGCTCCCCGTCTGCCAATCCCTTTTGGAGGGGGTAGGCGGGGCGCGAACCCGATCCCACGACCCACACCCCAACTCCTCGGGCGGCCTCCACTCCAATAAGCCATCGTCACGCGCGGCCCCCTCGGTCCTCGGTCGTCGGGGCGGGGCCCCCTCGCTCAGAACTCGGCATTCGCTTTCTCCGGACCCAGCAGGCAGGCGGGTCCCACATCCCCATCCCCACCAAGCCGTCCATCTTCCCGGCCGCCCCGTTAGTGAAGTCAGAGAAAGTCGCTTACAGTGTGGGCACGAGAATCCCAAAGGAAGACGGCGAGAGGAGAGGGTTTGAGGCGGTTGCGAAATATGGAAGGGAAAAAAAAAATGAAGGGGAAAATAAAATGGTTAAAAAAAAGAGAAAGAAATGAAGGGAACGGGAAAGGGGACGGTCTCAGCCTATTCTTGGGAAGGAGCCGGGAAAGGGGTAAGGGGGGAGGTGAGGAGAGGTGGCTGCAAGAAATGCATTCTGGAGGGAGGACAAAAAAGAAACTCAAGGGGTTCCCTAGGCAGAAAATCGGTTATGGGGGACGGGGGGGGGGAGGGGTGCAGGATAACGCGAGGGCTCCCTCAGCCCCCATCACCACAGGGAGGGAACAGGTTACTACGTAAGACTAAGAGGCTGAGAGCCGGGAGGTGACAGCCACGGCCGGGCATCTCCGAGGGTCGAGCGGCACGGAAATGGACGGTGAGGGGCAGGACGCGCTCCCCGGACAACGGCCAAGAGCCCCGCGGACGCGGCTGCCAGGACGAACAAGCCGGAGCCTGAGGCGGCTCCGGGGAGAGCGTCCGGGAGCATCGCTCCGCGCGGAGGCGGACAGGGTTTGAGGCGGTGCTGTCGCCCTCAGGGGAGGCAGGGTCTCCCAGGGCCGTGCTCTCCGAGACAAAGATCGTGCGACCGCGGGGGAAACGCCGGAGGAGCCGGCATGCCCCAGCCCCGGCCGAGCTCCCGCGCGTACTCACCGCGTCCTCTCCACTCGCCGGCCGCTCTAACTGCGGTTAACGGCCGGCGCAGGAGCACTCAGCGTGCGCGCTCACGTGACCCGGCCGGGCTCTGCCCCGCCCCCTCCTCCACCACGTGACCCACACAGCCCCGCCCCCCTCCCGCCTGCCTCAGTGAGAAGGGTCGCCACTCGCCCCGCCCTCCTCGGCAAGATGGCGGCGCCCAGCTGGGCCGTGCTGCGCCTCCGGGTTCGGGGTTCCGGGCAGGGTGTGGGCAATCTCCTCTGTCCCGTCCCAAAGCCATTTTGTACCGCCGCTGCTGCCGCCGCCGCCTCTAAGCCCCTGGACGCCCAACAGTTAGCGGAGAAGCTCCGAGCCCAGAAACAGGAACAAAGGCGAAGAAGGAGCCGGTGAGTCCGGAAGGAAAGACTACAATTCCCAAGAGGCAGTGCGCTCTGGGTCCCCTGGCGGGCGAGGGTCCTCAGGGAGAATGCAAGTCAAGGTCCAGGTTGGTGGCGGAGAATGGAGAGGAAGCGAAGGGAAAGGTCTGCAGCTTGCGGTGCCTTCCTGTGGGGCTGGTCCTTGGGTCCTGCGGGCTCGGTGCTAAGCATCCCCGCTCTCAGCTTACTGGGGGAAGACGCGAGTCTACTGCAAAGATACAGTGATGCCCTCCCTGCCCAGATGCTCACCCAGACTTCTTGAAGGTCTTCCCCATCAGGCATATTCCCATCGCTTTTTCTCTTCCCGTAGGAGTTCAAAAACCCGGTCCAGCGGAGAGTGCACGAACTAGTGCGGTTCACGCAGCAACTGCAACGAGTCTACCCCAACATGCTCGCTAAGGCACTGAACCGAGGGATTGTCCACCAGGACAAGGACCTTGTGGTCATCAATAAGCCCTATGGTCTCCCTGTGCGTGGTAAGGACCACGTGGGAAAGGGAGGGAGGAAGGCCTCTGCTTCTTTCTGCCACAATTAGGGGCAACACTCAGACACCACTTCGGGGGGGCTCTCAACAGCCTTGCATTCAAAATAATTTAAAAACTTTAATATATTTTTTATTGATTTCAAAGAGGGAGAGAGACATAGAAACATCAATGATGAGAGAGAATCATTGACTGGCTGCCTCCTGCAGGCCCTCACGGGGGACCGAGCCCACAACCCAGGCATGTGCCCTTGACCAGAATTGAACCTGGGACCCTTCAGTCTGCAGGCTGACAATCTATCCACTGAGCCAAACCAGCTAGGGCTGGACATCTTGTTAAAATACAAATTTGGATGAATAGTCTGGGCTGAGGGCCTGAGGTTCCTTTCTAGCAAGCTCCTTGGCATAAGGATGTTGGAAGACCCTGGATAAGGCCCTGGGAAGCGTTGACAGGTAACCCAGTGAGGGCTTTCTTTCCCCAGCAGAGTTCTTTGGTGGGGCTTTTCCTGACCACTCAAACCTGTCTTTTCCCATCGTAGGTCGCCCTGGGGTCAAGCTCTGCATCAGTGATGTCCTGCCTATCCTGGCAAAGGTGCTTCATGGCCACGAGGCAGAGCCCCCGCATCTGTGCCACCGGCTCGACAAGGAGACTGCAGGCGTCATGGTGTTGGCTCGGGACAAGGAGGTGGCACACCAGGTCCAAGAGCTATTCAGAACCCAGCAGGTGGTGAAGAAGTACTGGTTCGGAGCCCGCCTATAGCGGTAGAGGGGGTAGGCGTGAAGGCTTCCCTTTCTCCTATTCATGCATTCGTACAGCGGCTGCTCCCGTTCCTAGGACCCGTGGCCATTGGAAAGGCGTGGGAAGCAGATTTAGTGCTTTGAGCATTCGAGTCGCTCCTAATAATGGCTATACGTGAAGACCATTGAAAATTTATGCAAGTAATATTTGATTTCTGTGATCAAACAATCAAATGACAGAAATAAAGCATAAAACTCCTGGAGAATCCATCCACTCTGTCATTTTTGTCCCTTCCCTTGTGGCAGTTTGCTTTTTATTCCTCCCGCCCTGTGTCAACATATTTATTTGTGTGTGTGTGTGTGTGTGTGTGTGTGTGTATATATATATATATATATATATATTTAGTATATACAGTAGGTATGTATGTGTATCTATACACACACACACACACACACACACACACGTGTGCATATGTATATATATCACATTGTACAACGTACATTGTACTTTCTTTACCCACCTAACTCTGTGTCTTGGGGATCTTTTCATGTAGTGCATATAGGTTACCTCAGTTTGCTTTTTTAAAATATATTTTATTGATTTTTTTTTTTTTTAACAGAGAGGTAGGGAGAGGGATAAAGAGTTAGAAATATTGATGAGAGAGAAACATCAATCATTTGCCTCCTGCACACTCCCTACTAGGGATGTGCCCACAACCAAGGTACATGGCCTTGACCAGAATCGAACCTGGGACTCTTCAGTCCGCAGGCTGACGCTCTATCCACTGAGCCAAACCGGTTAGGGCCGTATTTATTTTTAAAGACTGGAATGAAAGACCATGTTATCGATATAATTTTTTTTTTTCTGTTTCCCCTCCCCAAATATTCTACAATGAGCTAACATTACTAGAGGAGTAAAAGAGCTAGGGTCGTAAGAATCGTATGAAGCTCTCAGGCCAAGCATTCTATGAAGAGGTTGTTTGGGACCCTCTGATCTTAGGAAGGGGCCACAGCAATTTCGCTGTGAAAAACCTCCAAGCAGCCAAACCCGAGGAATGCCTCACTCTTGTGGCCTAAGCAGGGTCTGTGTCTCCGCTTTCCTCCCCCTGCCAGGACCATCACTGTGCGGGACCCCGTGCCCTCAGCGGGCGTCGTGGACATCCCCATCATGGAGAAGGAGGTGCAAGGGCAGAAGCACCACAAGGTGGGTGAGCCACCTCCCCGGGGAGGGGGGGTGGGAAGGGGGGCAGGTTTTCTGCTCGCCCATTGGAATCACATCTGGGTTTCTTTGGCTTCAGATGACGCTGTCCCCGAGCTACCGCATGGACAACAGGAAGATGGTGAAAGTGCAGGCCACCCGGAGCGCGCACGTGGCGGTGACCAAGTACCAGACACTGAGCAGCACCGTGTCCTCCGCTCTCTTGGAGCTCCACCCTATCACTAGTGAGGGGTCTCCACGCCATGGCAGGAGGCACCATGGTCCCACATGGTGCTCAGTGCTGCTGGGCTCTGTCCTCCTGAGCAGCTGGTATGGCGGGGGCGGAACTACAGCTGACTTGTTGGAGCGGCTGGGAGCTCCAGGAGGGATAACAGTTAAAAGCACTAGGTAGCTGTCCGGCCGACGTGGCTCAGTGGTTGAGCGTCGACCTGTGAGTCAGGAGGTCAGAGTTCGATGGCTGGTCCACGGGCACATGCCTGGGTTGTGGGCTTGATAGCCAGTGTGGGGCATGGAAGAGGCAGCCGATCAGTGATTCTCTCTCATCACTGATGTTTCTAACTCTCCCTCTCCCTTCCTCTCAGAAACCAATAAAAGTATATATCAAAAAACAAACAACAAAAAGAAACAGTAGATTACCAGAAAGATACAGTTTGTATATAGTTATTTAAAATAGTGCCAAGTGGCCAAAACCAACCTGTGCACCGAAAGGTCCCAGGTTCGATTCTGGTCAAGGGCATGTACCTTGGTTGCCAGCACATCCCCAGTGGGGGGTGTGCAAGAGGCAGCTGATCAATGTTTCTCTCTCATCAATGTTTTTTGTTTGTTTGTTTGTTTTTTAAATATATTTTATTGATTTTTTACAGAGAGGAAGGGAGAGAAATAGAGAGCTAGAAACGTCGATGAGAGAGAAACATCGACCAGTTGCCTCTTGTACACCCCCTACCGGGGATGTGCCCGCAACCAAGGTACATGCCCCTGACCAGAATCGAACCTGGGACCCTTCAGTCCGCACACCAACGCTCTACCACTGAGCCAAACCGGTTTTGGCTCTCATCGATGTTTCTAACTCTATCCCTCTTTCTTCCTCTCTGTAAAAACTCAATAAAATAATTTTAAAAATAAATAAATAAAATAAAATAGTGCCAAGTGGTTTCTCAGAAAAAATGAAGCCTAGAATCACCATGTGATCCAGCAGTTCTACCCCTGGGTATACATCCAAAAGAATTGAAAGCAGGGATTCAAAAAGATGCTTGCACACCTATGTTCCTAGCAACACTATTCACAATAGCCAAAATGAAAACATCTCACATGTCCACTGACAGATGAATGGATGAGCAATGTGGTATCTCCACACAGTGGAATATTATACAGCCTGGAAAAGGGAGGACATTCTGACACGTACTGCAACAAGGAGGGACTTTGAGGGCATTTTGCTGAGTGAAGTAAGCCAGACACAAAAGGGCAAATGTATAAATCCAGTGATATGAGATGCCTAGAGTCAACCTAACAGAGGCCTGCTGGTCCCAAGGGCTAGAGGGGAAGGAGATGGGGAGCTATTTTTTTTTAAAATAAATTTTTAAAAAATATATTTTTATTGATTTTTCACAGAGAGGAAGAGAGAGGGATAGAGAGTTAGAAACATCGATGCGAGAGAATCATCGATCAGCTGCCTCTTGCACACCCCCTACTGGGGATGTACCCGCAACCAAGGTACATGCCCTTGACCGGAATCAAACCCCAGACCTTTCAGTCCGCAGGCCGACGCTCTATCCACTGAGCCAAACCGGTTTCAGCTTATTTCTTTTTTATTTTTAATATATTTTTTATTAATTTCATAGAGAAAGGGAGAGGGAGAGAGTGATAGAAACATCAATGATGAGAGAGAATCATTGAATGGCTGCCTCCAGCACGCCCCCCACTGGGGATTGAGCCTGCAACCCATTGCACATGCCCCTGATCAGAATCGAATCTAGGACCCCTGAGTCCACAGCCGACGATCCATCCACTGAGCCACACCAGCTGATGTTTAATGGGTACAGTTATAGTGTGTGACGATGCAAAATTTCTGAGATGGATGGTAGTGCTGGTTGCACAACAGTATGAATGTACTTATGGCCACTAAGCTGTACACATATAAGGGTTCAAATGGTAACTTTTATGTTATATTTATTTTGCTACAATAAAAATAAATGTAAAAAAATAAAATAAAACAATACTATTGTGTTATATAATAAAATTATCTTTTGAAAACCCAGCATGGCAGAGATAAACACCAGGTTGATTCTGGTGGGGAGGGGACTGTGTAGGGGAAGGGAAATTGCCATAACAGTATTTATAATGTTTACTTCCTAATAGCTTATTGGTTGTTATATTGTTCTTCATACTTGAATGTACTAGTAGGGAGCATGCAGGAAGCAGCTGATTGATGTTTCTCTCTCATTTATGTTTCTAACTCTCTATCCTCCCTTTCTCTATATAAAACAATCAATAAAAATATTTAAAAAAAATAAAAATAAAACAGCCAAGTTCACTTAGGAGTAGAAATAAGAGGTAAAAAAAGCAGTGAGCCTAGAGAACAAGTACATTCAAAGCGCCATCATACACCCACGCTCTCTGCTCTGCCGGTCCTGGCGGGTGTGATGCGTGTGCTCCCGGAAGCCCTGGGGCGAAGGTGAACTTAGATGAGGGTCTAGAGTGCAAGGGTGTCAGCTTCGGCTCCCAGAGCCTGGGCCCGGCCTGCTCTGTGGCTACGAAGAACCAGCTATCTCTATGCCTCTCCCTTCAGGAAGGACATGTCAGAAGGCCGTTTTACCTGGAGAGGAAGCACTCTGGCAATCAGATGATCAAAGTATCGATCAACCGCTTGGACAAAGCCCTGGTCGGATGTCCTCAGTCTCAGCTCCGGGTCCTGCAGCAACCAGCTGGGGGCGAAAGGAGACAAGCTCAGCGCTTGAGTTGGGAAGGCAGGAGGCGGAGGTCAGCCAGCTGTCCTTCCAGAGCTCCCGCCAGCCCAGCTTTATGTCTTCTGATCTGCAGCCCTCACGGGACCTGGAAGATGCTCTCTGGACCATCCTACTGGGCTGTCTGACTGACAAGTGTCCGGTGACAGTTCCCAGCTTAGGAGGTGCGGCAGCTCCATCAAGGCCCTCGGCGGGGAGGGTTGGGGTGGGGCTTCCAGCTGAGCAGAGCAGGGCATTGCTCCTTTGCTAAAATATCCCTTCCTTCACGGTCAGGCCTCTGCGGCTCCTGAGCTGGATGGGAGAACACGCTCATCCCTCAGGTAACAGAGCCTTGACTGAGCGACGGGAGGAGGGCGCCTCCTGGAGCTGAGCCGGGGACTGCACACACCTGGCAGCTGGCATGAGCGGGAGCATGCGCCTGGATGCTCACCTTGCACCCAGCTGTCTGCACTAATGGCCCGCCGCACAGAGGAGAGAAGGCAAAGGGAGGGAAGGGAGAACGGAGGAGGGCTAAGGTCCATCGGCTCAGTAGAGAGCATGGTCTTCCGCTAACAAAATAAGAGAAAAGCCAGGGGAAGGGGGGTCCCGCAGAGCAAGTCCAGAGGTTGTCAGAAACCCCTTCCACCTCAGGACAGAGGCCAGAGACGGGACAGGAAGGAAGAGCTGCGACCACCCCATGCTGCCTCTCCCCGCCCAGGCGCCCGTGGCACCAGGACCCGCATCTGTGACCGGGACAAGGATGACAGCGGCGCCCGGAGCTCACCGGGCCACCGCAGGCCTTTTCTGAGACACAGGCTCCGAGCTGGCAGATTCCAGCTCTGCTTTTAGTGAAACAGACCGTCACAGCCCTCCCCTCAAAGCACACTCACCTGGGCAGGCCGCCGAGGTCGATCTCGCTGCAGATGTAGGGGCCTGGACGCAGGATCACCCACAGCCCCACCTCCGCGCCTGTCGGACTTGAGTCTGTTATCTGGTGTGTTCTCAGAGAGGCAGGCCTCCTGCCTTCCCTCAAGGCCGAGGAGGACAGGGACCAAGCACCCACCGGGGCCCTGCTCCCCTGCTCCTCAGGCCCAAGGGGAAACCTCCAGGACTCTGGGGAAGTACCCCCTCTCTGTGAATTTTAGGGAGCTCCATTAGCCTAGTTAGAAGCAGCGTGAACATCCGTGTGAGAACTACGTCGCTGGCTGAGACGAGTTCCAGGAAGAGGTTTCCGATCCAGGCCTTTCCTTTCCAGTCGAATCTTCTCAATTGTGACTTCTTTTTCACTTGTCTCTTCTGCTTCTGTCCACTTCTCGCTGTCTCTTCCTGCCTTTGTTCCCTCCTCCCTCCCCCCCTGCCCCCTCAAATGTCCTTCTCCATCCTCATCTCTGTCTTTCCTTCTCGCCATGCCTGTCAGCATGTGTGTCTGGCAATGAGGAGCAGAGGCACCGGTTTTGCCCGCCGCTCTGCACCATGGAGAAGTTTGCTTCCTACTGCCTCACGGAGCCAGGTGGGTTTGCTGTCCTCCAGGTGGGATGTCACTCAGGCACAGTCACTGATGTCACTCCTTAGCGCATTGACACACAGAACCCGGTACTTGCCAAGAGGAACAGATTGCCATGACTTGATGGTACAAGACTAAGAAGCCTTGAGGGCACCCTTTCTCTAGGATAGCAGTCGCCAACCGGTGGGCTGCGGACCACTGGTGGCCCGTGAGGTCCGAAAGGTTGGCGACCGCTGTTGTAGGAGGCTCCCTCTAACCAGGGAGATGGAGATGGAAGCAGCCTGAGCATAGATGCAGTTTGCACCCAGTATGGAAAGTCCCTTTGGCCATCTGGATTTGAAAGTACCCAGCTCTGAGTTTGTTTATGATTTATAAGGGAAGGTTTCCTAGGAGATGGGTCCAAGCTGGGGCTCCCTTCACCTCACTGACTTTCTCCCCCACCCTCTCCTCTCTCTCCGATCCCTGCCTTAGGAAGTGGGAGCGATGCTGCCTCCCCTTTGACCTCAGCTAAACGGCAAGGAGATCATTACATCCTCAATGGCTCCAAGGTACCAGCACGCTCTCCTCCCGGAGCAACTTGAGATTGTCCCCATCTTCTTGCTGACGGTGCCTGGATCCTTGCTGTCTGCGAGTTGATAATCCCGTGGGATTTTTACATGTTGGGAAGAGAGCCTCTGACCGCTTCCCTTTACTCCCCTTCCCTGGTTCTGTCTCTTCTGATTGGTTCCCGATCATTCCATTCGTTTTTGTCTATGCTTCTTAGAGTCTCTTCAGCTAGACTTCTCATCCCCTGCTTTCCCAGTCAGTACCGTTTCTCTGCGCCCCTTCTTACACCTGTGCCATTGTACCGCTTGGTGCAAGCATGTCAAACTCGCGCCGGCGGGCCGCATTCAACGGGGTGCGCGGCTACACGAGTCTGACATGCTGGTCTCTGTGTCCCGTGGTCTGGAGGCCCCCAGGTGTTTTCCCGGATGGCAGGCTCTGAGGACCCCTCTATGGCCACTAGGTGGCAGCAGCCTCCTAGGTTTGATCCCCTTTCTTGGGGAGCTATTTCTAAGTGGGACCAG